GCCATGTAATATATGCATTAACTTTACCTGACCAGTAAATTAGATCATCTCCACCAAGTGAGAAGTGCTAAATAAAATAAAATTTCTTAAAGTGAAAAAAAAAATCTAAATATAATGATAGCAATTTAAAAAGAGGAGGACCTGGCTATCTTTGTTGTACATTTTCAATAATAGTAATTCTTATAGGTAGAGAATGAAAAATGGTATTTTTACATATATAACTCACAACCTTAATATTCCTGACCTCCTTACAAATAATTTACATTGAGAATGAATCCTTGTACAATCCAGATGTGCAGATAATTCCCAAACACAGGTAGCCTGCAGCTGTCTTCTGTCATCCTTTCAAAGTAGATGTGCCTCCAGCAAATTGCCAAGTTCTTTGGAAATCTAGTGCCACCTGTAAGGTGGAGGAAGCAAGGGGAAAGGGTGGTAACGCCACTGGGAAACAGATAACAGGATATGGAAAATTAGAAATGGGGGCTTTTTTCAACGAGAGTTTTGATTTTCTTGATTTGATAATCTGAATTAACAAACTTTTTTCAACTGTCTCTCTCATTAGCTGTATACAGGTATAATCCAGACTGCTACTAATTACAGTTTTGGTTGTTGGTGGTAGTGGAGTTTTCTCAGGATTTTTGGCTTTTTTTTTAACAGTCTATATTTATTACCCATGGAACAATTGTGGAAGATACTCTTTAGTGATCAGATCTGGTGACATGCTAAGCATTATCATCTGCTGCGGTCTTCCATTTGGAACTCTACAGTTCCAGTCTGTTTTCTGGAGTCAAGAGACTTTCCTCATCATGGTTTATTTTTCTTGTCTGATAAAAATGTTAGGAATGATTTTAGCCAAAAAGTTACATGCAGTATGTCAGTACTTGCCATAGTGATGTCAAACAAATTGAACATTACCAACTAAAGTAGATGTTATTTTTTAATACTTTTAAATCACATTCTGTTTTCAATTGCGTGCATCCATCCCAGGCCAGGAATGAATTGAGGAATCTGATCTAGCATATTTATGTACGAAGTCGCCTGCTTGCAGCAGGTGACTGCAAATGTCTTTACGAACACTGAGCAACAACCTGGTCCTGTTTTTCCATCACAGCTGTTGGAACTATTTGTACTGACTCTGATGGCAGAATTCATAGATTAATGGATTTGTAGATTTGAACATTACAGAGCGATAAAGTCTGACACACAGTCACCTAGTCTGATATTTTGAAACAAGAACTGTAACTTCTGGAGTTAGTTATGGTTTAAACTAGACAATTCTTGATATTTGTGCTGGCTGCTTAGATCCCTCCCTTTTTGGGATGCTGGTGCTGGCGGATGCCATTCCTCCAGCGTGTGTTCACTGAGCCCAGGAAGGGGATCAAGAGCTCAGCCCATCATTGCGAATTAGTACATGAAATTCACTAAGGACTTGTTCATACCGCTCAAGGGATAGTTCAAGTCGGGGCCTTACTAGTGTAAATCTTGTAGAAGCCTAAAGATTTTGGGATGTGGCTTTTGGAAATGTACTGGTTCTGCTTCAGAAACTTTGTTCAGCTGCACAACTTAGGTTAACAATTGCAGTTATAAAGAAATTGGCTGGGCTTGGTATTACTCAAGTCAACTAAAATAATTAGCACCAAACAGTTAGTTGTTTCTATGATTGTTTTCTGCCTTTGCTCTCAAGAAATCCCAGTCTGCTTTCCTTCCTTCAGCCCAGAAAGCTGAAAGAAGGAAATCATTAGATGCAAAACCCATGGGCTGGGAAACAATGAGGGTTGAGTACTAGGAAAGGGGAAGGGTTATGCTTCTTAAAATCTGCACCTTTAATGCTCCCAAATATAAGGAACCCCGGGTGCATAAGGAAAATATTTGTTTTTCTTGCATATCCAGTCAGAATATTACTATTTTGACAGTGCAGAGCTTTAAGGAATTCCACATCCATTTTATTTTTCCCTTAGCAAATCTTCAACAAACCTCGTAAACAGCCTGCGGTACAAGAATACTGGCATTGTTTTCGTTAAAGAGAAAACCAGAATGCTTTCATTTGTGCCATTTGCATCAGGCCCTTTTGCACATGAAAGAGTTTTAAATAGCATGCATACACATTATCAGTTCTGGCAAAGTCTGTAGTTGTCTTGAGGGAAAAAAATAGCTGCTATAAAACAAGAAGTACAAATTGTCGTTATGCATCTTATAAGATACCACTTTATTTGCTTCTTCCAGATATTGGTAATAAATGCATTAAGGAGGGCACAAACAAAGTGTTAACGCAGTAATGCGTAATGTTTCAATAAGTAGAAATTTAACGTAACCAAACTACAGCAGTCTCTTTCTGATTTAGCACATGGAGCAGCAGTAGCTGGCATGGCCGTGTTAAAGGAGGAATGAAGGGGTTTCAGAACTTCATGGTGTCTGATAGTAACATGACTTTTGTGGAATTTGTAGAGCTCTTCAAATCTTTCAGGTAAAATATATTTTTATTCTGTACTGATCTCATTCATCCAAGTTTATAAAAGAGCAAAAATTGAACTTTTCAGCTCTTTTCACAGTGTCCGTAGCCGCAAGGATCTGAAAGACCTTTTTGATGTCTATGCTGTGCCTTGCAATCGATCCGGTTTGGAGCCTGCTCCACTTTATACCAATTTGAAGATTGATGAAAATAGCAGTGGATTCCAGCCTGATTTAGGTTTGTTAAAGAGAAAAATACAGTTGTCAGACTGCTGAACAGCTTCAGTTGTTGGCCTTAAGAAAAAGTGTCTCAGTCAGTCTCATAAAGAACTATCAATTATAAGTTTAAGTAGAGGATTGCTGCTGTACCTCCACTAATACCTAGTTAGCAGGATGTAAGACAGGTTCTTTGTTCAGAAATGAAGGGGAGGAAAAGTAGTCCTGCTTTACATTAGCCAGATATATTTGTAACCAGTGTAGCAGAGGCATAACTTGTTGCTGAGCGGCTAGGCCCAACGTAGGGAATCTGTATCTGGTTGCAGGCGCTCTGGAAGGGCTAAAACACTGAGCAAATGCAGGGAGGAGAAATGAGGAGGCTGTGCCCTGTGTCTCATTTGGTTTGTTTTTTCCTGTCTGGTTTCCTAGTAGATCTGCTTTATGTGGGACAAGGGGGAAGGAAACCTCTGTCCCCCTTTACATTCCCCTGTTACCATAATCTACGTCTGGAGCTTTGTCCACATTTAAAGAAAACGGTCTTTCTGCCAAGCAGCCTGTGTGGAGGGTACAGTACAATTGGCATATGGGACTGGAAGAAGAGAAACAGTGATCACACAGGAAGGGTATGGGGTTGTACACAGCGAAGGAGGGTCTTTGAGGCTGTACGTGGTGGTGAGAGGAAGCAGGAGGGTCCTGGGTGACAGTGTGTGAGAGGGTGGGAATCCATGTTACAGGTTCCAGGATTTTGTTCATAGTAATTGAACACTTACAGTCCACTCCCACTGTTTTCATACACGCTTAATACTCTTTCTTCTGTTAGTGAATAGAAACAAGATGGTTTTGTTCTAATTTACTATGTCAGTGCTAAAATATTCAGTCAGGTATTCAGGTATTATATATTACATTATATTCTATACAGTATGTATAATACACATAATTATATGGCTTATATTTACATTTCCTTTTTTTTCTTTTAAGATTTGTTGACTAGGAATGTTTCAGACCTTGGTTTGTTCATTAAGAGCAGGCAGCAACTATCAGACAACCAGAGGCAAATATCTGATGCTATTGCTGCTGCCAGTATTGTAACCAATGGTACTGGAGTTGAAAGCACATCGCTGGGAATATTTGGAGTGGGAATCCAGCAGCTAAACGACTTCCTAGTGAATTGCCAAGGAGAACACTGCACCTATGATGAAATCCTCAGTATTATCCAGGTCTGTAATACAAGCATCTTGCAATTCCTTTTACTTGAACTCTTGTTATTTCTGTTTTCCCCACTAGCGTTGTCCACCTTGTAGTCAGAACAGCATATCTGTGTGGATATCTCCTTTCACGCTGATGTTGTCACTACAGTTTACCTGAATTTAAAATTTAATACTGTCTTTATTCTGGGCTATAAAATTGTGCAGATGTCCATAAATGTGTCAAAAAAAATGAAAAAAAATAAAATCATGCAAATAAACAGTTTTATTGGCTATGTGTGATTTATCCGGAAAGGGATGTCACTGCTTCGGAAAAGTATTCATGACAGTGTGTTGTTTTCTCCTTGTCTGTGACCACCTTTGATAGAACTTAACCCTAAGTTGGACACTAAAAAAACATCCACCATTTCCACATATTTTTATTTTATTCTAAAAAATTTTCCAGAGCAAACATGGACATTTTATTCCCTTATGTACAATGGCTGAAGTGATTAGAAAGTATGTAGAAAATTTTTAATTTGCCCAAACATGCATAATTAATATACTCCAAAACTGAACGCGCACTTAGCAGTTAACAAAGGCTAAAAACTGTATATTTCAACTATTAACATGTAATATAAAATTGCAAAGTTTAAAAGACAGAAATTCTAAAGAAACATCAAATTAGCATACCACAAGTCTCTCTAATTCGAGATGATGGTGGGTTGTGTTTAATTGATTATAGATCCTTTTTAATTTCAGCTTAAGTGCTCACTCTGCTTTGAACAAGTTAGATTAGATGACCTCCCAACATCCTTTCCAACCTGAATGATTCTGTGATTTACAATTATGAGTTTAGTATTCTTGTTTAGTGATTGTAAAAATAGCATGATCATACTGCAGGCATCTAGTTACTTTATCCACAAAAAGACCGATTTTAGATAATAACTGGTTAGTTCGATGAGCAGACTACACTATGAAAATATGAAAAAGCTGTATTTTTAAGAATTGTTACTATATATCTCTTAAATTTCTTCCTCTTTATAGAAATTTGAACCCAGTGTGAATATGTGCCAGCAGGGGCTGCTATCTTTTGAAGGATTTGCAAGGTAATTATTTATGTGTTAATTTTTATATATATATAGTGTGTGTGTGTGTATGTATATATAAAGATGACACCAATGTATTGATGTTTATATGACAGTCACAAAATACTCAGCAAGGCATAAAATTTCCTCACATCTTCTCACCTCTAGATTTTTGATGGATAAAGACAACTTTGCCTCCAAAAACGATGAGTCACAGGAGAATGCTGAGGACTTGCACTTTCCACTGTCATATTACTACATAGAATCTTCGCACAATACTTACCTTACTGGCCATCAGCTTAAAGGGGAGTCCTCGGTAGAGCTCTACAGCCAGGTATGCAGGATTGGATCGTTGTGTAGTTTTCAACATGAACTTGTTTGTTTAACTGGCAAGTCGCAGAAACATGACCTTTTTGCTTTGAAAATCTAAATGTCCTAAACCCCTGCTTGCAAAACGTTGGAAAACATGATGTGTGGGAAAGCTGCCTATAAGCACAGTTGTGCTCAAATGCCTTTTCTAAGGCAAAAAAATGGGTTTAGTTTGAGATTCATAGCATTTAGACACCAGTTGGTCTGACCCAACCTACTAAAATTAGACTTTCCCACAGGAAAGACTGATCTAATATTTTAGTTCATTCAGATGTCAAAAACACTACTCAAATACTGTACACTGCACTGCAAAGACAAATTTCAAATGGAACTATAACTTCTAAAACCCATTACTTCTAGGAATATTCTACAGTTTTTAGACTTTATGCCTGATTGGTGGTGAACAGGAAAAGAACGATTTCTCCCTAGGGCTTTTGGTTCTGTATTTGTTTGTTTATATATATATATTTTTGTGTGTCTGTGTATTTACCAAATGCTAGAGAAAGCATCAAACTTCCTGTGAGTAGTGTTTTCATTACTCTCAATGTTAATGACTCACCATTGAGAAGGGCTCATCTGGCATCCCATGTGCTGCTTCACTTGGAGTTATAAGACAGAGGGGTGAGGCTGTGTTAGGAAAGCCCACATAACATGATTGCATTGAATAATGCAGTTGCAAAGGAGGTTTCTGTAGTAGCACTGCACAGAGTGATGTGAGTATTGTGTTGGTAATAGATGGGAAGTGAGATAGAGCTCAGCTGGCTCCAAAATTTGCGTGATGCAGAAGAGCTTCTTCCTGGCCCTCAAGCAGTTGTCGCCAGAAGAGAAGGGGCACCTTCGTTCTGGTTCAGTGTGTCTGGCTCTCACAGAAGTGGTGGTGTGCCAGCTACGGACACAACTGCCTGAAATGTAATTATTCAGGGTTTGAGTAGGAGAAGTAATTTTTCCTTTGTTCATTAATGTTTTTGCTGGAAATGGTTTTGATTGTCGAGATCTTTATTTTCAGTAGAATACTTAATTGTAATACAGATAACTCTTTCAATGATAGGCATGCTAAATACTGATAGCAATAATAAGCTGGGCTGCCAACAGATGGGTTAGCTTATCTTTCCCTCCATCCTTCCTCTTTGCTTTCTTCAGTGGTTTTCTAGCAAGCAGGGCTTTCTAAAATAAATAAATGAATAAATAAAAAATGGCTGGCTGGCTGTAAATTAGCTTAATATCATTAAATAATGGCACATTATTTAATGGTCTGGCACATTTCCATTCTAACTATCCTCATGGAGGTTGTTCATAAGACATTATTTTGAGACCTTCTTCTGTTTAAAAAACTAACAACAACAAAAAGAATGAGCACACAAGCTGCAGGTGCCGTGCCCATAGGCTGTCATGGCAGCAACCTGGAATAAATGGCCATGTTGCTTTATAGCTGCTTTTGCAGGTAGAAATATGGGAATGTTTCTCTCCCTCAGAACATTAAGCTATACATTAAGAACCACTTTCTGCAAACAGATTACGTGTCCTGTAGGATACCGTGAATTTCAAAGCTTTATGGTACTTCCCCTAAGAACATCAATGCTTTCTTAATTTTCCCACTCTTTCTCAACCTAGGGAGTGCAGTTAGCTGGGGACTATAGCTTCTCTGGGCTATATTTACTCCACAGAGATTGCTCTTTCCAGCACTTTTGCTGACTCACTGGGCTTTCATTTACCTCTGCAATGTCTGTCTTCTGCTTTGATGGCATGAGACTGTGGCTTATATGTGCTGTTCAATTGCATTGTAGGTTCTTCTACAAGGCTGCAGAAGTGTAGAATTAGACTGCTGGGATGGCGATGATGGGATGCCTATCATTTATCATGGGCACACTCTTACTACTAAGATCTCTTTTAAGGTATGCTGGTAACTGCACATAGAAACAAAAAAGGAGAAGAAAATCAGTAACTTTTTCTCTAATGAAGGAAAAAATTCACCTATTAGAAAAGTACAAATCCTAATGGGCTAAATCCTAATAGAATGTGAACTGTGGACTGTGTCAGACATGAACTCCTCAATTGTAAACATTATGCTTTTCAAATTAGTTTTTGTAGCATATGTACTGTAATTTTCTGTCTTTTTTGTTGTCAACATAACTAACATAAGTAGCTGTTACCGGTTCTGTTTTAAAAAGATGCTAGGTTGATCTGTAGAAGCTTGTTTTGAAAGCAAATTGTGGATTCTTTCTTCTTAGAGGGGAAAACACATGCCTTCCTTTCTCCCCTTTCAACTAACAGTAAATTAACTGAATGCTGCAAAATAATCACATGTTCTTTCAACGACCTTTCTTTCTCACAGGAGGTAGTTGAAGCTATTGATCGCAATGCTTTTATCACCTCTGACATGCCAATTATCATATCAATAGAAAACCACTGTTCATTGCCTCAGCAACGCAAGATGGCTGAAATTTTCAAGGTAGGCCATAAATTGTGGTATATTATTCTAAGCACATGCCTTGGGATTTTCCATAATATATCACATGTTCTTGATATTTCAGAATGTATTTGGAGATAAGCTGGTAACCAAGTTTTTATTTGAGAGTGACTTTTCTGATGATCCCATGCTTCCTTCACCCGGCCAACTGAAAAGAAAAATCCTGCTTAAAAACAAGAAGCTGAAAGCCCATCAGACACCAGTGGATATATTGAAACAAAAGGTAAAGTTCTTCCTTAATAGCAAGCAGTGAGACCTAACTTTTGTTAGAAATAATTAATTTGTGTTGGAAGTTTTTGCCATTCCAATATGTACAGCAGAATAATCTAATGCATATTCATGCTTGGAAGACTCACAGTGGATTGCAACACTTTCAAATAAGTAGACAAGACATATAATAAAGTACAGATACAGCATAACAAAATTTTAGTGTGTTTTAGTTTTATAATACTTCATAATATTATGATTAGCACCGCATGCCCTATGTGATAAGCATAAATGAAATTTCACTCTGAGGCTATAACATTTGCTATTCATGTTTGTTGAAAATAGTGATATGCATTGAGTGTGTGTATATACAGTATGTAGTAATTTTTAGTAGAATTCTGCTTGCTTTCTTTTTTCATATTCAAGCCAGGCAACTACTCTCTTTCTTACTCCCTTTTCGGGGGGACTGTGCTATTCAAGTAGTGCTTATACATATATGAGAATTTTTTGGGTTTCTAAAAATTAGGGCTGCATTTCTGGTAGCCTCAATTTAACAATGTCTATAGTTATTCAGCAATTAGATTGAATCCTTGAAAACTAATTGCTTTTACCCAAAAGGTAAATACAATTGAATTAGAATTGAATTCTTGTATCAGAATAAGTAAATCACACTGATCATACTAGTATATGGACATTCTCCATCTTTTAAAAAAGTTTCCAAAACAGCATACCTCAGACTGAAAAAAGGCAGTCTTGCTCTGAATAATGTTCAAAGTGGACATTTAACCATAATTAATCCGGTTTCCTATGCTATTGGGTGCCTTTCTACCAGTACAAGTTTTTTTTTTTATTTTCAAACCCTTAAAATGGTATTTTAGTTTGATCTTAACAGTCTTAGTTATCTCTCATTTTATATAATCAGTGCTTTCATATAAGTAAAATAAGATGCAAACAGTGATGAAAACTCTTTTGCTTTTTAAAAACACTTACCAATAATGTAATAAGTGGTTCTGTTGCTGTAGGCTCACCAGCTGGCGCATATGCAAGCACAGGCTAGCAATGGTGCTAGCAACCCCACACCTACCAATGAAGAGGAAGAAGATGAAGAGGATGAATATGACTATGACTATGAATCTCTCTCTGATGGTAACAGTATCTATTTATTTATTTATTACAGTGCTGTTGTTAGAACTGTAGCAATAAGGCATGTAAATATTCTAGTTCAGGAATGGTGTAGGTAAGTTGATCTTACCTTGTGAGAGGAAGATGTACTAAATGTCCTCGGTGGCACTTTTGTGCGGTAGTCTATAATACTGTGAAAATAATTTGACTGTGTAGAGGACTTGAGTGTGACTTTAACTCCAACCATTAGATGTTTTAACTGTGCAATGTATGCTAAATTGTAGTGTTTATAAATTATATTTTATATTATTTATATTATGCAAAAATGATTGTGTTCATAGTGTACTCTATCTACATTCACCTGTATGGTCTTTTCTAAGGAGTTTAGACACCTGAAAGCTGAAGGTTCACAACAGGCTTAGCCCTTGCATTTGCAAGACTGCCATTAAATTGACCTAAGATGCAGATTCTCCAAAGTCCTCCTTGGTTACTGTCTAATCCCAGAGACCCCTGAAGTACCTATTATAGTTACACTTTCAGCATCAGCTGTTCACTTCATGTGTAGAGGTAGAGAAGCCGCTGAGTCCCTGGCTTGCTCAATACAGATGGCTTTATCAAAGCTTTAGCTGCTCAGTTAAAAAATGGTAAGGCATGCCTTACTGACTTGCCTTGTAAGTTCATGTGCTGTCTAGGCTTCAGCTATCCTAGCCTTCAGGAACTGGCAGTTTAGCATAAATCCACCTTTAGGGGCAGTTTATAGATTGGATATAATGATTGGCATGCCAGAAGTGATAAAAAATACTGCAGTTAGTAACTTCCACTACCTCTTTAGCTCTGCAGTTCAGTCAGACATGTTTGATTTAACTACAGATGAAGGACAGAATGTGCCAGACTGAGGCGGCTGAGCTGAAGTCATGCGTCTTGTTTTGCTTCTCTTGCTGCAGGGCTGGTAGGTTCTGGTAGAGCAAACAGATTGAATCAGAAACATTTAAACCTCTCCAGTTTTGTGAAAGGACATTTGTCAAAACCCCTGTGCATGGATTGAACAAGCTGGATGCATCTAAATGGGTTACTCATTATTTTTCATTGGTAGTTGTCAGAGAATATATCAAAGTAGATCACAGCGCGTTTACCCAGTGGGACAGCAGTGATGGTACAAGTGATACCAAGCTCTTTGGGTAGTTAAATGCTGCACCATTGTTAAACTCCATAAATGGGTCACAAGACTGACCAAAGGGACAAAAAAGTTACAGATGTGCTTCAGTGTAGATAAACATAAGGTAATACGTTTAGGGGAAAAATCTTAAACCTTGCTTATGTGATTCCAAGCTCAACGATAGCAGTAACAATTTGGGAGATCATGGAATTATTGAAAGTTCTCTGGAATCCTCAGTTTGGTGTGCACTGACAGCCAAAAGATGGGGATCATCAGGAGCAGTACTGAAAACAGAGCATCTTTTTGCTTCTGTGTAAAACCTTAATGTGCCACAGCTTGAGTTCTGTGTCCAGTTCTTGCCTCCAGATCTCGAGAAGGATATGGTGGAGTTAAGGAAGTTAGAGAGAAGGGCAACCAAAAAAGTAAAGGGAGTGTGGCAGTGGCCTTGCACGAGTCTGAAAAGGCTGGAATTCTCCAGCTGGTAGAGAAGAGAACTGAGGGGTGAATTTGAAGCAGGTTTGCTAAATCATGAAGTGGTGGGTAAGAGGAGTACAGAACTGTTACTCATTAGATCTAGGAGGTGCTCAGTAAAACAAGTGGAAGATGAGTCTAAAACAGGTAAAATGTAAAGTATTTCTTTGTGCAGCTGGTAGTAAAATTCTGGAATTTGCTGCCATGGGAAACTGCAGAGGCAAACGGTATCAGCAGATTGAAAAAAGGATTGGACAAATTCACGGACAGGTTTTTAAGGAAATGTTATAGGTAGAAATGTATGGTCCAACATCCCTAATATTCAGCAGTTGTGGATGTTGGGGCAGTACAAGGGACATGGACCGTGACCAGTGGCTGGGTGGTTTCTTTAAACAGCATCTCCTGTTGCCACTGTCAGAAAG